GGAAAAAAAAAAAAAAAAAAAAAAAAAAAAAAAAGAGCTAAGTTACAGCTGGCTTGTATTCATGACTTCTTTGGGGTTCTACAAAATTCTAAAAGATTTTTCAGACTTTCCAAGAAAAATACTCTAGCAGTATAAATGAACCACTGAGGCCGTCTTTTTTTTTTTTTTTAAATAATGAATAAGTCAAAAGTCATTTTTTTCCCCTAAAGTTTATTTTCTTTGTAATTTAAAATATGGGTATGTGGGTGTCTTTCTTTCAATACAATACTAAGAGATATTCTTTACCTTTCTTGTCTGGCTAAAGTAGTGTTTTTTCCATCTCGTTTTAAAAACCTTTATTTGACTAATTCCTTAAATATTAGAACTTAATAACTCCATGATCTATTTTCTGGGTTCATTAAGTCTCTTTTGCACTGCTACTGTTTAATCTATTGTGATGTTCTTTTTTTCTTTTTGGTGGTTCCTGGAATCGAACCCACAACCTCACACGTTATGCAAGCACTCTACCATTGAGTTACACCCTTAGCCCGTTATGACTTGCATCTATATATCCCCCCAAAACCTTATGTGCTCATATGTAGGGCTTTTCAGAGGTGGCGGGATTTAGAGCATGTGATACTGGGATTAAGGGTATGTAGTATTAAATTAGCCTACTGACTAGAATTAGCATAGCTCTGGGTGGCACCACCCAAAAGGCTGATAGCCTAGATGGGATAGAAGGGAAAGGTAGGTTGACTTTTTGCTATTTCTGGTTGCTGCCTTCTACCTGTTATGCCATGAACTGTTTCTCCTCTGTGATGTCTCTCTGCTATGCTGACCTGCCTTGGAGGCAGCCAATTATGGACTGAAGCCTCTACAAACTGTAAGCCAAATAAACTTCTCCTTTTTTAACTTGTAAGTGTCAGGTATTTTGTCTCAGCAATGAGAAAAGTAACTAAGACAGATTTTGGCACCGAAAGGACAGGGTTGCTGCTGTGACCATACCTCACCATGTGGTTCAGGAGCCTTTAGAACTAGCTTGTGGCAGACTTAGGCAAGGTTTGGAGATGCCGGCTAAAAAGTAGAGCTGGAATGCCTGAGGCTGTACTTGATGAGAGATTCTGGTCAAACCACAGAAAATCAGAATACTGTTAGAAATGCTTCTGGTAAAGACCAAGTTCAGGTTTCAGTTAGGAACAAGAACTACATTGACCACTGGACTCTAGATCGCAAGTGTTATGCTCTAGCTAAAAATCTGTCTGAAATTTTGTCATGAAATTTTGCTCATGCCCAGACACTTTGCATGAGACTCAGATTAAAGACAGTGTAATTAATCTGGCAGAAGAAATTTCAAAGCAGTCTAATGATGAGGGTATGGGACTGTTAGCATTGGGGGCTTTTAGCCAGATCTATGTGGAGAATCAGAAGCAAGGG